TTTTCTCAGCTGCTTCTGCCGCTTTGATCTCTCTATCGCGAGCTTTTTGGAGTTGTAGCTCCGCGGCTTCGTCCAGTTCTGCGGCCTTGCGCGCGCGCTCGCTGGCAAGCTTCCTGGGACTGTAGAATACAGCTCCGCCGTGCCACTCGTCGCCTTCTCGTGTAGTCAGTGTTGTAGACTTGATTGGGCGCTTTCGAATGAGGTTGAGTTCAGCTTGTAGCTCTGCGTTTTGGAGGCGGAGAAGCTCGTTGTTGACCTGCAGCGAGTGCAGGCCTTGGGCAAGCCGTTTGGCTTCAAATTTGGCCTTGTCAGCCACCGCAGCGTCAAATATTTTGCGCAGCTGAGGCCAGGTATCGCCGTCGCCTTGCTCCCCAATTTCTGGGTCGTCATCTTGTTGTTGTGGGTTGTTGTTGAAGCGTTGAAGTACCCGGCTTGCGTCCATCGGCCATACGCCTGTAGCTTGAAAACTCTTCAATATGAGATCGTGAGTCATTGTAGAGCTCCACGCCGGCCAAAAGTGACGATAGAAGTCCTGTTTGGTGATCCTTGAGAGGCCTTGGGTTCGCTGGAGGTGTTGAGTAAGCTCCTCGGTGTAGTGCTTCGAAAGCGGCCCAAAAAGAACCACATCCAACGGCTGTAAGCTGTGGGTTGAATGGGGAGGATACACCATAACCATGATACGTTTAGCTTCACAAAACTCCAAAAATTCGGGCGTGAGGTGGCTGGCGTGCCCGTCAAGGATCAGAAGGCGCCATTGACGACGAGCTTTGGCTGCTGTATGACGTTCGAACACCTGTTGAAGCCAGGCAAGACCCAACTCGTTGTTAGACCATCCCGAAGCCGAGTGGGATACAAATACTTGGTGTTGTTGGGTCTCTAAAAGGTCGTGAACCCAGCTTGATTGAACCCCGGAGGTGCCCTGGTAGATGAGAGCGGGCGGCAATGCATCTCCAGAAGCACATACGCAAGCTAACAGCGTAATCCATTCTCTGTTGCCATCCCTTATCGCCTGAGTACGCTCTCCCGCCTCCCAAACTGCCTTGGAGAAGATCCTCTTCCTGCGGTCGGCGATACCGACGTAGAAGCCCTTCTCATC